CTTTTTTTTTTTTTTGCCATATAGTTAATGTGGAATATGTTTTGCATGACTTCATGTGTATGATGGGTATAGTATTTCTTACTACCTTCTCGGGGGGAAGGAGAAAATTTGGCTAAAAATTAAAATTTAAAAAGATATATTGGCCCAAGCACATAGGTTTTTCTCACTCATGTGTTTTCCCTGATAGGTTTCTATAAATGTAAGATCATTCCCTCCCACAGAAACTAAGAGTGAGAACCCAGATTTATGTGTGTACTCTGATATATTCATTATTCCTGCCTTTACCTTACAATGTTTTTATTGTGATATTATTATTTCTTTCACTTTATCACTAAGTAAATGGTTATGTTTAAGATCTAGTGTGCTACCTAGTGTAAGGCAAGTTGGGAAAAATGAGCCAGCTCAGTGAGTTGAGTAGGTGTTCATATGTTTTTCATTTGTGGGGGCTCACCTGGGTTTTCTGCAATGCTAGTTACTTGTGGATGCCAGCTCACTTGGTTAGTGCTATATTTGTCTGCCTTATTGTGTCACTGTAATTGTGAAAAATAGTAGTATATAAAGCAATGAAGACAAAAGAGAAATGGTCAAGTGGGAAAAAATGTATCCACTATCACTGATAAAAGTTTAAATAAGATACATAGGGCAATTTGCACAAATTTATGAGTTCAACAGTGATTTCCCAGGAGATGTGATCATACATTTTGAAAACATACTCTAAATCATAAATAGACATTAAAATAGCATCTTCATACCCTGTAAATTGACAAAGTAGATTTTAAATAGAAATGTTAATACTGTAGGAACTGTGGGAAGGCAGGCACATTATTAAATTTCGTAGAACTGTGAATTGGTCCAGCCTTTCTAGATACCAGTTTGAGCTTAGGCAGGAGAAGTTATTGCTTGGGCCCATTGTTCCCACTACTGGGCATATGCGTCAGGAAGACAGAAGCCAAAATGTTAATAGCATTAATCTTTGTGGTGTCAAAGAACTGGAAACAAATGAGTGCCTGTCAGCCAGGGAATAACTGAAAAAAACTAGTTTGTAAGTATAATAGAATAGCATCAGGCAATAAAAAATGGGAGGTTTGAAGATTTAAAAAAAAAAAAGCTGGAAAGATTTGCATGAACTGATGCAGAGTGAAAAAAGCAAACCCAAAAAGAACAGTATACACAATGGTAAGAACAGTGTCAGTGAAAAGATCCCTAAGAGAAAGCCAAACTCAGAGTAATTGAAAACCAGTAATGGTCCCAGAGAACAGATAAGGAAACATACAACCCTTCTCGTGGCAAAAAAGTAGATACTATTAGGGCAGAATATTGTTTACATTGTCAGAGACAGTCACCATTAGGTGCTTTGCTCAATTTTTTTTCTTTATTAAAAAGAAGATTTAGTATGGTGGTGGGGTTGGGGGAGTGATGAGTGAAGAAGAAAGATTTCCAAAAACTACCTATGTAAAAACAAAGCATCGAAAAACCTTTTTTTTTTATCCCCTTTTTAAATAAACAAATGATAGCATTTGCTCATTTGATTCCACAGCTATTTAAGAGTATTGAACCATATGACCTAATGAAAATCAGGCAGAGGGGAGACCAGTTTAATATGATAAAACCTTGATTAACCAGAGCTCCATGTAGCATCTTTACATAGTAGATACTCAGTAAACCCTACTCCGTCCCTCCCCAAATGCATGAACTTTCATGCTGGTCAAGGCATTGTGGTAGACTGGAAAGAGTGTTGAATTTGCAGCTAGAGTATATGGGTTTAAATTCTGGCTGTGCTACTTACTACTTGTATGACCCTGGGTAAGTCCCATTATCAGTGCAAGAAGGAGTTGGACTAGAATGATCCTTTATAATTATAAACCTTCTATCTAATAACTAAAATTTCCTCCCTGTATGCAGATTTCAGGGAAAAGAGGCAAAAATTACTAACAAGTATTTAGTTTAAAAGCAATATCCAGAATATAGTCTCGGTTTAGTAAACATTCAGTACAATCTCCTGTATCTTCTACATGTATACTCCTATATCTTCTACATTCTACTAATGCATAATTAGTGAGGTAGCTCTGTGCATAGAGCACTGGGCCTGAAGTTAAGAAGACCTGAGTTTAAACATGGCCTCAGACACTAGCTGTGTGACCCTATGCAAGTCACCCACATCCCAGGGTTGTTACGAGAATAAAATGGAATAATACTTTAAAAGTGCTTTGCAAACAATAAAGCACTATATAAATGCTAACTATTAGAATGCAGGTGCTAAGGCTTTGAAGATTGTGAATCACAGATTTAAGTTCTGTTCATCATACTTAGTAAGGGTTAAGTGGTATGAAAACGTGTTAGAAAATCTTATAGAAACAAGAGTTATAGATGCTTAAAGGCCTCACCTCTACTTACCTAAAAAATACAGTAAACTACACATACTTTTCTTCAGTATCCCAGTAAGTATAAGGTATTATGGTTTTCCTTTTGGTGTGCTTTCTGGTTATTTTCTGTTGCACCACTCTAGTGCAGGCTCTCATCACCTTGCTCCTTGATTACTGCAATAGTTACTGGTGGGTCTGCTTGCCTCAAGTGTCTCCTCACTCTAGTTTATTCTCCATTTAGCCACTGAAGTGATTTTCCTAACACTTAGGTAAGATCATGTTCTCCTCCACCTCTGTCTGTATTCAATAAATTCCGGTGGCTTCCTATTGCCTCCAAGATCAAATGCAAAATGCTCTGACTTTCAAAGCCTTCATAACCTAGGCCCTCCTACCTTACTAGTCTACTTTCACCTTTCTCCTCACATACTCTTTGATCCAGTGATAATGGCCTCCTGACTGTTTGATGACCAAGACACTCCATTTCTAAGCTCTAGGCATTTTCTCTGGCTATCCCCCATGCCTGGAATGCTCTCCTCCTCTGTTCCAACTGCTGACCTCCCTGGCCTCCTTTAAGTCCCAACTAAAATCCTACCTTCTACAGGAAGCCTTCTCTAACCTCTCTTAATTCCAGTGCTTTCACTCTTTTTAAATATTTCTATTTTCCTGTGTGTAGCTTGTTTGGATGTATTTGTTTGCTTGTTGTCTCCCCTTTTTTGTAAGCTCCTTGAGGATTGTTGTTTAGTTGTTTTTCAGTTGTGTCTGCCCGTTCTTTGTGACCCCCTTTTTGGGGGTTTTCTTGGCAAAGATACTGGAGTGATTTGCCATTTCCTTCTCCATCTCCTTTTAAAGATGAGGAAACTGAGACAAACAGGATTAAGTAACTTGCCCAGGGTCACGCAGCTAGTAAGTGTCTAAGGCCAGATTTGAACTCAGGTCTGTCCTGACTCCAGGCCCAGTGCTCTATCCACTGTGCCACCTCACTGCCTTGAGGATATCCTGTCCTTGAGGATTGGTATTTCTTTTACCTCTTTTTGTATCCCCAATTCTTAGCACAGTGCCTGGGCCATAGTAGGTGCTTAATAAATGTTAATTAAATTGAATTGAAATTGGGTTTGTGAAGGAATTTCAAGCATATTTTTTGTTTGTAGATTCTTGTCTACATTCCCTGCCGCCCCCCCCCCCCCCCCCCCCCCGCTTAATCTGGTGCTGGGATAAATGGTAGTAAGTGTTAAACATGAATTACTAAGAAGAGAAAGAAGCATCATCCACAGAAAATCCACAATATGACCCAAATTCTTTGTTGCAGATTGAACTGAAGTTATTTATTTGAAGGACATGTGAGTACAGACAGCAGTGGGCAAGAACAGGATGACCCAAAGACTGTGTACATACAGGAGGATCTTTAAGACTGTTCCTAAGTAGTCTGTATTACCATGCTAAGTTGAGAGAGGATGAATCTTAAAACTCTTTTAGTCTTTCCACCAAAAATCTTTGAAAGGTACAGATTACAGTGTTAGAACTCTTTGGTACTTCCTGTAATTCCACTGTTTTGTAGTTAGTTTTCTAGGAGAAGGAGTTTGGGGACCAGGGCAGGCAAGCAGTGGTTTCTTGTTTATAATTGTGTAGCTTTTTGACTTGCTTTGTCTTAGGATAGACAGTACATTATAGCTGAAAATCATCTATTAAAAAGGGAAACTTTTAAAAATTAAAATAAATTCCCCAATAGATAAATTTATTGTCAGAGAATATGAACAGCTTTCTAAGGAAGCTCCAGATCACTAGTGATTAAAGAAAAGCAAATTAAAACAGCTCTGAGGTTCCACCTTATGTCCATCATATTGGCAGAAGTGACAAAAGAAGAAAGTGACAGATGTTGGAGGAGCTTACTGGAAAATAGGCATACTAGTGTACTGTTAGTGGTGCTATGAATTGATCCAGCTATTTTAGAAATTAATTTGGAACTATACCCAAAATATTATAAAACTGTGCATGGCTTTTTGCCCAGTTATACCTCTATTTAGGCCCATAACCCAAGGAAATCAAAGAAAAAGGAAACTGGAAATTAAGAGAGTATTCTTCTATTGGGGAAGGCTAAACATATATGTATGGTATCTGAAGGTAATAGAATATTATTAGACTATATGAAATGGTGAAATTAACAGTTTCATAGGAAACTGATAAAACGTGTATTAATTAAGGCAAAGTAAAGTTAGCAGAACCAGTAGAACAATTTATATGACAAAAGCCTTATGGGGGGAAAAAAATTCTGAAAGACAGAACACTTGAATCAGTGCAGTGATTAGAGGACTAAAGGTGAAATGTGCCACCATGGAGGTGTTGGACTTAAAATGCAGAATGAAGCATATTTTTGTATATAGCCAATGTGGGAAATTTGTTTTGCCTGACTTTGCATATTTTTGTGAGAGTTTGATTTTCATCTTATTGTTCATTTGGAGGTAATGGGAGGAAGAGATAATAAATATTTATAGTTTTAAAATAAGAATGACTTGCAGTGGTATTTTTGAAACCTGTATTGTTCTCTCAGGAGAGAATACCTTTGGAATTGCTATAGTTCTGTAATATTTCTTCCAACTCTTTAGAGCTTTGCTTATATTTATATTTTCTCTTTTTCTGTAGAATTTCCAGGTGATATCAATCCTCTTACAAAGGAAAAGGGTGGCCCCAAAGGCCCTGAACCTACTCGATATGGAGATTGGGAACGAAAAGGACGTTGTGTGGATTTTTAATAGTCCAACTCTTAAGAAACTGGTCTCTTCATCTGAATGGAGTATATTTAAGTTCTGCATGTTCCTTTTTTTTTTTAACTAAAAAATCATCAGTCCAGAAAAGATTGTTTTGGAAGTATTTCTGCATTAGCACATTTGTTATTACAGATTTGTTAATGAAGAGATAAGTTCAGAACTGCCTATTAATTTATCAGTTAAATTAAAATTACTTATATAATAAGTTCTATAATTTAATTTTTTGGGGGGTTAAAGTGGTTCATGGTTTGAAAAGGTTTTACTGGAACATAAAATGTCATAAACCCCCAAATATATGTTTCTGGGTTTAGTCTCTTGTCTTCCTGGCTGAAAGCTGTGGAAACAAGTACTTGAGGTACCATAACTGAGATCTTAAGAAATAATTATATTATTTATGCAAAGTAATCCATTTCAGTTCCACTAATTGAGAATTTGTGATAATTTGAACAAGCAAATTAGACTACCATACCATTATTATCTGCAAAGAAAGATTTTTCCAAGCAGGTAATAGCATAACCAGCATTTCAGTTAAGCAAATGCTTATTGAATACCTTCTCTATACCTAACACTGTGCTAGATTGGGGAAGGGAGAAGTAACAGAAGGAAAAAGAGGCATAGACTTGGCCTTCAGGAGCTTATGGTGTGTTTGGGGAAATAATCGCATAGTTTTCCAAATTGTGGGTTGGACCACATTGGTAGGGGACAAGTCTTCTGTCTGTGGGGTCAGGAAAGTTTGAAGCAGTGACCAAAATTATTAAATATTTTAAAATATAATTCTTGGATAAATACATCCTTTTATTTAATTGGAAGTTCAAGTCAAAATGGACATGTGAAACTAGCATGAGATTCTTGACAATTGGTGAGGTAGCAGAAAGGGAGGATAAGTTATACAGCTGAAGGCAGTGTGCCCCAACATAGGTGGCATGCCAGGGAATAGTTGGATTACATGGAGAAAGGACCTGGTCCTTAACACTAGAGGGAGGGATTGGGTACTGTTATCCCCCAAAGCTGCTTAAATGCTCCCTACCAGCCTTTCCTTATGTCAGGTGAGACTGGAAGAGGTCAGTTAATTGGCATTTGGACCATTCGCACAGCCCTTCCCTCTGATGCAGAATCCTAACCTTTTGACAATGAATTCAGTTCACTGATTATTTTATGTTTTATGTTACTATTACTTTATGTGTAAGTTTTGCTTTTTTTTAATAAAATTATGATAAATACTTAATTTTACTTGAATAAAATGCAAGCTAAGAAAAATTTTTGTGTTGATTGTTTTGTGAAAAAGGGAAGCATATATATAAAAAGCAACATCCCACTTTTAAAAAATACACGTATATACATATACATATATATGTGGGGTGTAGAGTGTGTTCAGGAAAGAATAGTACCTCTGGTGTGAAGGCTGCTGAGCCTTTTCAGTGCTGCTTTCCACCCTTGGTGTCTACCTGTTTCACCTAACTCTTACTTGTGGCTCCAAGAAGCTGTAACATGCACAGTGGCTACACCCCGGTGGCAGATGGACTAAACCAGGTCAAGGGTAACCAAGGAGTCTTAAACCTGTTGGTGATTTGGGGGCGATGTCTACCTCAAACATGTGAAGACTTCCCCTGGTGGAATGGGCAGATGAGAACAGTTTGTTCCAACGGCCATAAAGGCAGCTGAAGCAGGCACTGCGGAGTGCTTCAAGCTTGGTTAGACAGACATTGAAGACACCAAGGTCATCCACTGCATCTTGAGCCATTGCCAGTCATCTTGATTCTGTCCCGCCACTGGATTTTGATGACTCTGGAGGAGAGAGTGAGACCGACAACTTCGTGCAACTCCACCTCACTTAAATTCAATTTACACACGAATCAAAGGATCACCCATACCATTTTACATACGTATGTATGTATATGAAATTTGGAAATTATTGCCCTAGAGAGTAGCAGATACAACATAGGAAGAATATCAGTAAAGAGGAATAGTAAATCACAGGAGACAATATGCAAAAAGAAGACCTGCAAAATCATGGCCTCAGTTCTATAAACAAATATAATTTGACTTCAGGGAGTCACAGAGACATTGTGGGATGGAACTTAGGACAAGAATATGTTTCTAGGAACATGACAACATGGCATGAACTTGAAAAGGGAAGGTAGAAATTTTGTGAACTGCAGTGGGGATGCATAGTGAAGATCAATGGAAGAAGAAACATGATGTCATTGAAGTATATTATAAATCATAAACTTGACATGGAGTGATGATACAATAATAATTAAGAACTTAAAATGTATAGACACTTTCAGGACTAATAAAGCAGAGTTGCTGATAAATTCTTGACTTGTCATAATGATTGCATTCTCCAAGGGATATAGGAAGCAACAGGGGATGGTACTATTCTGGACTTGATTTATACCCAGTGAGTGTTGATTGCTATACTAAAAGTGATGGGGAAATCTTGAAGGGATTCAAGAATTTTATCTTAGTGCTCGAAAAGAAAGGAAGAAACTACAAATGTTCAATGCACATCCTAGATTTGAGAGGAGTGGATTTCATAGAGTTTAGAGAATGGGTGGTTAAGATCCTTTGGTCTGAAGAAAGTTGAGAAGTTTTCAGGAACAGTTCTAATGGCACAAGTGATTCTGATGAGAAGGGACAAACTATCTAAAAGAGATCAAAGTGATTGCTTTGGGAATTCATGAACCAACTTAGATTTTAGATCCATGTTTAGAAGAAGAAAGCAAAGACAAGTAACAGAATATAAATACATATATAAAAGGTGGCACTATCCTTCCTGAAAAAAAATCAATCCCAACTCAGAAGGAATTAAAGCTGGTAATAAATCTTAAGGACTACAAAAAGGGTTTTTTTTTAAGCAAAAGATTATTTTATGAAGATTATATTTTTAAATATAATGTCCATGTTCAACATGGACTAATTAATTAATAATCAAATTGATGGTCAGTATCTCTCTTGGTAACCAAAGACAAAACCATGAGATCCTTGAATACTTAAATATCTTTGGAAAAGGAGGTTCCCCTGACAAGTAAAAGTCAACCCTGATTAATGAACAATTAATGAGGGGGTAGACATATTAATGAAGAAGTGGGCTAAAAGTCTTTAGCTCATCCTGCTGAGAACTTGGCTTGATCCTGAGACTTGGCCACCACCAGCAATCTGGATAAAGGAATCCATATCTATGCAGACCACTATGGTTAGTTTTCTTTTTTATAAATCGGGTTCCCCGAGGCCCTAATGGAGGGGTATGGTGACATGGGCTAATTTCCTAAGGGCAGTAATCTGCATAGATTAGATTCTGTTTGTAAGGTCTTCTAGTTGGGTGAAATCCCCTGCCCAAAATTGCAGAGCATTTACCCAGAGGCAATCTCATCTATCAGCAATGTCCTTCAGAGACTGACTGACTGGCCTTCTGGGGCTGGTCCCTGAATGAGGAAATAGAAAGGAAAAACCTCTATCCTAATTTAATAATTGGTTATTAGTATAATAGAAACATAATCACTTCCCTCAAAACTTTGGGTTGTCGTTTAACCACTTCTGAATCCATTTCACTTTACTATCATCTAGCTTACATCTTTTCATCTTCACAAAGATTTTTGTCAAATGCTTTACTGAAACCTAGGTATACAAATGTCTGTATCATACTCCTGTCTGGTTACTCAGCCAAAGAAATGCGGTTAATCTAGTAGGACCTGTTTTTGATGAAACTATACAATTTTTGCTAACCACCACTTCCTTTTCTCCATGTCTTCAAACTATCTCTTTAACTTGTTCCAGAATTCAGTCAGGAATTTAAATCAACTTTACTTGCTTTAGCTTATAGATGCTTTCCTCTTCCCTTTTTTGAAAATTGATTAATTTGCCCTTCTTGAGTCCTTCTCCAATACTCAGCTTTCAAGGATTACTAACAAATTACATTCTAGTTCAGAACAAAAAAATTTGTAAGGAACAAAGATCAATTACGTCTGTCAGTTCTTTCAATACCCTGGGATGCAGTTTTAATAGGTCTAGTGATTTGAATTTGGTGAGGGTAGTTAAGGCACTTTAAATATCTCCTCATTTATCCTGGGTTTTAATTGACAGCCATTTTTGTTCTATCTTTTCTAAATCAGAGAAAAAGAAAAAATGAAGTAACTATCTTATTTTCATCAGTTTATCGCTGTCCAGTCTATGTTGAAAAGTGGTCCTCGTCCCTTTAAAAAAGGATAGACAGACACTTCAATAGAAACTTCCAGTTGAGTATTAATTACCCAGAACTCTGTCTCTCGACTTTTCATTGGTCTCAGTTTAGTCATTATTAGAAGAATACTAACTATTAAATTGAAGTTTCTATTGAAGTGTCTGTCCATCATTGGCCACGTATTAATAGACATTTTTATCCAAAACTTTAATGAAGCCATAAATGTCATGCTTATACGAAAAAGATGGCTAGTACATGGGACAAAATATCCAAAAGATAATGGGATGTTCTGTAGGCATCTCAAACTCAACATGTCCAAAACAGAACTTATTATGTGCCTCTTGGAAACCCTGTGTGACTTCAAGAACTACCTCAAGTGCCATCTCCTTCAAGAGGCCTGTCTGATCTGCTCTTCATTAATACCCCTCTCTCCATTATATATTTATCTTCTATACATCCTATGTTTGTCTGTGAACATGTTATATCCTCTTAGTAAATTATAAGCTCCTTGAGAGTCAGGACTATCTCACTTTTGTCTTTTGTGTCCTTTGTGTCTGGCAGGCACTTAAATGTTTGCTAATGAACTTTTTAAAAAAAAGTCTCATTGATTTTCAAAACATCTGTCATTTCCTAATGACTCTTCCTCCTCAGCCAAATAGAGCCTTCTCAACAACTATATCATTCCTCCAAAACCAAGCCCCCTATTCTACACTTTCCTTTTTCTCTCAAAGTTGCCACCTTTTTCTAGTCTTAATCTTGGAGTAATCCTTAGTCTCCTCATCCTACATATCTAATCAGTTGTTAAATCTTTCTACCTCTGCAACATCTCACTTCTGACCCCTTCTCTCTTCTTAAACAGCTACCATTTTAGTTCAGGCCTTTACCTTTTGCCTTGATTAGTATATCAGCCTCCTAATTGATCTCCCTACCTCAAGTTACACCTAACTCCAATCCATCTATACATTTGCCCAACTGATTTTCCAAAACAGCAAATCTGACCATGTCACTCTTTTCCTCAAACTCCAGCGGCTTTCTATTTCTTCCAGGATAAAATATAAACTCTTCTTTTGTTTGGAAGGCCCTTGATTACTTGGCTGCAACGTATCATTTCAACCTCTTTGCATGTTACTACCCTATCTGCACTCTCTGATCTAGCCAAAATGACCTCTTCCGCACACATTTATCTGTGCTTTTGCTTTGGCTGTCCCTCATACCTGGAATGCATTCTTTCTCCACCACTGCTTCGTAGAATTCTCTTCCTTCAGTATGCAGCTTAAGCAACACCTTCTCTTAACCTGGGTTCTGTGAATAATAACAAACAACTAACGTGTAGTGCTAACTATATGCCAAGAACTGTGCTAAGTGCTTTATAATTATTATCTCATTTGGTCCTCACGAAAGCCTTGGGAGGTAGGCGCTATTATTATCCCCATTTTGTAGATGAGGAGATTGAGGCAAACCGAGGTTAAGTGATTTGCCCAGTCACACAGCTAGTAAGTTTCTGAGGCTGAATTTGAATTTAGGTCTTTTGACTCCCAAGTCCATGATCTATCCTCTGCACCATTTAGCTACCCTATGAACTTGTATTATTAATATTTTTGTAATTGCATTTCAATATGATCAGTTACCTTTTTTTAAGTTTTATTGATATTTTGTTTCTACATTACATTTACAGATTATTCTCACTTCCTGAAAGGTGTCTTGAAACAAAGCAAAACAGTTAAGTAAAACTAATATGTCTACATAGGTATGTCTCATTCTGCACCCTAAATCCATCACCCTTCTGTAATGGATAGCATGTTTCATATCAGTCCCCTGGAATCACAGATGGTCATTGTATCGATCCTAGTTCTTTCAGTTTTCAAAGTGGTTTGTTTTTGCAGTGTTGTTATTGTGTAAATTATTCTCTTGGTTCTGTTCATTTCATTCTTCTGTTGATAAAAATCTTCAAAATTGTTCATTTTTATAGTATTGATGTTGTAGTATAAATTGTTCTCATTCTGCTTATTTCACTCTGCATCAGTTCATTAAGTCTTTCCTTGTCTTTTTGAAGTCATCTACTTTCTCATTTTTTACA